AAAAAAAAAAAAAAAAAAGGTGAGCTTTTTTTATTTAATTACTAAAAACAATAGTCTCTTTTATTTAAATATTATTACATTAATTTGGAATATAATGGTAATCAAATACCAAAATTATTATATAGTGTTGATTATTTTGGTTAGGAACAATAACAATATGATTTCAAATGATAAAATACATCTAAACCATTTACTTTTCTTAAAAAAAAAAAAATTATATGTATATATTTATATTAAATTATATAAAATTTATAAAAACAATTTATGTTTCTTAAAAATGCTTACACACACTTCACACAAAAAAATAAATAAATAAATAAATTAAAAAAAAAAAACATTTGCATTTGAGCCCGATTCAATTCTGGGCCTTGTCTAAAAACATTGTTATAGGCCTAAGCCTAAAGCTCAGAACATGGTGAAGAACCCAAATCCAGAGCCCACCAAATTCCCAACCCAGCAAGAAGCTTCAGATCAGACTACGAAGAAAAAGCAAACACAGCAAACAAATCGCAAATCGTTATTTGTTCTCCGGTGAGTGATCGGAATGGAGAATTCATCGGACCTAACCGCGCTTCCCGAAGATGATCTTCAGAATGATGAGACTACCCCTCATAGTCCGGGCGAATTAACATCCGCCTTTTCCTCTAAGCCCGATCGTCCTCCCATTCAGTACGTGATCTATCAATCCTCGCTTATTTCCATCATTTTCTTGAGGTTATGATCAGGTGTTGATGTTGAGTTTGGGCTGTTCTGTAAGCTTCTTGTGTTTTTGGGTCTTCAGGGTTCTGTATGGTTAGACTTGATTATGAACAATTTTTTTTTTTATATTTATTTTTTTTTTCCCGCGGAGGTTATGATTGTGTTACCCAGCTATGAAACTTGCTTAAACATGAAAGAAGGAAATTTGAGAAGCGCTTTTAATGAGCAGTGTCATTTAGGTGCTGAAATGTATTGGTTGAAGCTGCACGTCTTTAGGTGTGATATTTATTGGACTTTGAGTTTAAATTGGATGGTCAGTCTATTTGGAACCTGAGCCAAGTCTTAATTATATGTCTGGTCTGTTATATGCTTACATTGCATAGGGCCAAAAACTGCTCTTGCCAAAAGTTGTGAGTCGGTGATTGCGGATGAAAAACAACCCCTAATAAGTTTCCGGCATTTGTCAATAAGCTTTATACCAAACCTGATCTGCTGATAAAATCTGGGTGGCTGTGCTTGAGTGATTTTAAGTTACTGGCAAACTGAAATGTAATGTAATACCTTTTTTCAGAAAATGTGGATCCCTATGCTTGAGTAATTTTAAGTTACAAGCAATTTGATATGTAAAGTAACTTAAAGACAGGAAAAATCTTATCTTTGCAGAAAGTGAGTTATCGTGCACTCTCACGAGCTAAAGAATGGCATCCAAATTTAAAGCTGAAATTGCGTCTTTAAAGAAATTAATGAGATTTAACATTCTAGTACATCCATTACTATCAGCATTGATAGTTGAGCATTAACCTCATTAACTGCTTCAAATTTGTGTATGTGTGCAAGTTTTACACTCTTACTTCCTTCTGTGCTAGCTATAGGTTTCTTTTCCATCTGATACTTAATTGAGGTGAAATTTTCCTTGAAAACTGTCTCTTGCTTTCTGTTTCTACTTTAGGACTTCATCACAAAAATATGCACCTTTAGATTGGTCTATGTACTTTGACGAAGAAGATGATGTTTCCATCCCAGGCTCGGACAATGTAAGAGACATCAAAATTTCAGTTGATTTATATATATATATATATATATATATATATCCACACATCCATACATACATACATACATACATACATACATACATACATACATACATATTCTTTATTTTTCATACCTATTGTTTTCCTCGAATTCAATCTGGTTCAGGTTTTTCACATTTATAAAGCTGGAACCGAAGGTCCAGTTGTTTTCTGTCTCCATGGTGGGGGTTATACAGGGTAGGCAGATCTTATGGCCAATTAACTACCTAATTTATGTTATGACGTGCTCCTTTAGCCATGGCATGAAGTAGCTTGACGTGCGAATTTAATCATGTGATTCTATTAAGGAACTGCTAGGTTGACTATCCCGTCTTCTAATATAAAATTTTGCGGCAATGCATGTTCATTTCTGCCGCCATCCCAATTTTCATTAAGGAGGAGTTTACTCTCTATGATAGCATTTTCCTAATAATTATTCTGATTGACTAGAAGGATCTTTATAGTCCTTGATTGTTATTAGAAGCCAAAATATCAATCACCAGAGATTTCTTTCCATTTGCTTGCCCATATACCCCTTTGTTTCTTGTAAAAAGGCTCAATATCAGCAGCCAGGCTCTGTACCTGTCATTTAATTTTCTTGATTCCTGCTTTAAGTACCTTTAATTGAAGAAATTATCTTGTAATGTACGGTATAGAAGACCAATATAGTAAATGGAATCAGATTGCTGAACCTCTAATATATGTATCGTTTCAAGCTCTAAATAAGAACTGCTTGCAACTTTTGAAATCAAGTTGAGGTCCATAATTCGAAAGTGTTCTGATTGCATTTTTGTAAAACATACATGTTTCCGGCAGAGGCCCCCTTTTGCACTAAACTGTTTGATAGTCCAGGCTCTCATTTGCTCTGTCAGCAAGAATAATAAAAGAAAAGGCTCGGGTGGTAGCAATGGACTTGAGAGGGCACGGGAAGTCATCCACTGATAATGATCTAGACCTATCTATTGAGGTATGTGCTTTTGAGATTGCCACCAAAATAGAAAACAATGCATTCAAATCCATTGTTCTTTAGTTTAAAGATAAGATAGATATTCTCCATGACACTTTTTATACCAACTGTTCAAGTTTTGACTTTCTGAAATTGCAGACTCTTTGCAATGATGTAGTGGCTCTGGTTAAGACAATGTATGGGGATTCCCCTCCAGCTATTGTCATTGTTGGCCACAGGTTGTTCCACTCTTTTGTAATTTGAGGTTATGCCTCATCTAACCTTTTTTAGTTTTTACAGTGTCTTATCCTCGACATATCTTACTTCTTATAAAATCTAATTGTCTTGAAATTATTGTGTTCTGGCTTCACTCTTCGGCTGTAGCTGAAAATTTGAGGCGCAAAATGTTGAGCACTATTTTGTTAGTCGTGGATTGTTTGAGCTGTTGCAACCTGTATCTTTCTGTGTTATTATATTTCAATGATTACTATTTCTCGCATTATTTTCTCAACAACTAGATGAAATTTCCTGTAATATTTATGTGTAATGTAGCATGGGAGGCTCTGTTGCTGTTCATATTGCTGCAAAGAAGTTGCTTCCCAGCTTGGCTGGGCTGGTAGTCGTGGATGTTGTTGAGGTATGTGCTAGCTAAATACAAGGAATTTATTGATACTGTGGCCAGTTTTATAGTCAACTAAAATTCGAATTTCAAAATGCTGGTAATCTGTGTTGATACTTTTGAAAATTCAGGGAACAGCAATGTCTTCATTGATCCATATGCAGAAGATATTATCAAATCGGGTGCAGCATTTTTCAACTGTTGAGAAAGCGGTAATAAATTCTACGGATACTGATTATTAGATTTTTTTTCTCCATTTATTTTTCCCAAAAATAGTGTTAGGGAGAAAAAAAAAAAGAAACAGGCTGAGCAACTGCCAACTAGAGAGTGGTATATGGGAGTTATTATTGCTAAAAATAATTTTTTTTAGTAAGCAACTTGTTGCAGCTATATGGGAATCAATAGTTACTAAGAGCATGATTGGATACAAAAATTTCTCAAAAAAATCCAAACATTTTTAACTCAACCACTTTTTTAACTCAACTTTAACTCAACCCACTATCATCAATATTATCAATATAATTAAATAATATCAATCAATCATTCTTACACACAACATCAACCTTAATTCACTATTCATCTACTCACATAAATTTAACTAACTATCACATCACATTTTCTCTCTCTTACTTTTACATTAATTTAATTTTAATTATTTTATTTTAAATATTATTTTATTATATCCACTAACAACTAACCATACCTACTTTTTCAAATTTAACCAACCCAAATCAAAACAAAAACAAATTTATATCCAAGCATGCTCTAAATAATTATAATAAGGTCCATTTGCATAAGACTTATCTTCGATATCTCATGTTATGAATTATGATCTGTCAATTTTTTATTTATTTTTATTTACATGGGTGCTAGATTGAATGGAGCGTCAAAGGAGGCTCTTTGAGAAACGTTGAATCTGCACGTGTCTCTATTCCGAGCACAGTAGTATATGACGAGTCGAGAAAGTGGTGAGTGAACTAGCCTCAGTTGCTTCCTGTTGAAATCCTCGTTTTTATGAGAATCCTTTTGTTTAACCGGATTTGTTTGTGTAACTCACACTGGAACTGCAGTTACACTCACCGAGCTAGACTGGAAAAAACCGAGCAATACTGGAGAGGCTGGTATGACTCATTCTCCATTATCTGATAGCTTCCCACTTGTGGTTTTGGAAATTATCTACTCGAAATTCAATGCATTAATTCATGCACTTTCGAATAATGTTGAAGAGGATCTCTATGTTTCAGGTATGAGGGCCTTTCGGACAAATACTTGTCAAGTCCTGTACCAAAGCTCTTGCTCTTGGCGGGCACAGATAGACTGGACAGGTTACTCCTTTGGATTTATTATTAACGAGTAAATCCAATTTCGGTATTATTATAATTCTTAAATAATGCACAGAGTTTAAAATTTCTTTTACATCATTGCAGGGCTCTCACAATAGGTCAAATGCAAGGAAAGTTCCAGATGGTAGTTGTCAGACATACGGGCCACGCCATACAGGTGTGCTTTAGAATTTTCTTTTCGTTTCCGTGAGATAAAAACATGGCCCAACTGATATTGCAAACTGTACACGTATATTGGCTCAATTTTAAATTACAGGAGGATGTGCCCGAGGAATTTGCAGATCTTATTCTCAATTTTATATCACGAAATCGAATTGGTCCTCATGGAGTCGAGGTTAGTTTGCGAAATTTCATTTTACGCGAAAACATTGCTTGATCTACTCGAGTATTCGTGCATTACGATAAATACTCAATCATGCTGATTGGCTCTCGGGTTCTTATATGCTGTATAACATACATTGCTCGTTAATGTGTAGAGATAAATCTGCTTCAGAAGCTTTTCAAATTCTTGTATCTTTTTAATTTCCTTTGGCAGATACCAGGAATTCAAACTTGGTCCCGTCGAAATCTTGTGCACTGAATAAAGGAGAATTACCGGTTGAAGCAGATTTATTGTACGAAACCTGTATCGACTTTTTCACTCGCAATATGAATAGGATTTTAGGGAATGTGAATGTGATTCACTACTGCAGACAAACTTCCAGTTAGATGTTTTCAGATGTAGTAACTTCCAGATACTGTAATAACTTGAAGTAATACCAAAATATGATCAAATGTAACTATGCTGGTGCTTCCTTATTTTTGTTTAATTATCAAATGTAACTATGCAAGTGAAGTTCAGAACTGGCACTCTAAGAATCATTGAATTAATTGCAGAACTTGATAATTGTATTTCAAAAAAAACTAATAATATGCACTATTTTTCTCATAAAGATACATGATAATAAGAGAAATAAATAAATTTTATAATAAAATCATCATATTATTGTCTTTATTCATAAATATATGTCAGTAATATTTATTTTGAGAGTTTAACAATGCAAGAAAACAAAAAATAAAATAAAAAATTGCATGGCTCTTCACCTAGCTTGTCACAAACTGACCCAGCCCGATTTCGCTTCGGGTCGACCCCCTGCTCCGTATCCAATCTTGCTTTAGTTAGTTTGAGTCTTGCTTGGGGCAAAGATCACAGCACTATCCTCATGTGCTTCTACTAAAGAACATTCAGATACAAACTTACATATTCATGCTCAAACAGATTATACCCAAGATCAACAACTTCTTCCCATTTATTAAACAAGAATAGCCTCTCAAGTCTCAAGAGTAGAAAACGATATTGGCTCTTTTTATTTTCCTTTTTTTTTAATTAAAATAAATAAATAAAAACTACTTCTCATACAAGTAATTGTTGCCTCTCAACTGCAAAAACAAATAATAAGAAGAAAACTAAAATATGACACTCTCAGTTTGTTGTAGACTCCTTCAAGTATGCAATAAGGTCCGAACGTTCTTGTGGCTTCTTCAGTCCTGGGAAAACCATCTTCGTTCCAGGTATATACTGCATACAAAATATAATTACAGGATAAGAAGTTGTTGCTAAACATTCGAAGCTTGATTAAGGCACAGAATGTCATTCTCCACATCAGTTCAGCTTTCTTGAATTGAACTCAATGCTAAATCGATTCTGAATAAGACATTATATGCTCTGCAATTATCCACACAAAATTAATCATCTCCATCAAACGAGAATATTATCCGAAGTAAGATGCAAAGTTAGTGAACAAAGGAAATAACTCGGCCTGTAAGCCAATCAGAGTCTCAAAGTGCCTGTTGGCCATGAAGAACCTCAAATTGATAGAATTTAAATGCTCCTTTTTCTTTTCATTTGTAATATTTTTTTTTTCTCTTCATTCTTCTCTTTTCTTTTATATTTTTTCTCATATTGTCTTTCGCCAAAACAGTTGGAAAAAGCAGCAAACAATGAAGCAAGCAATACAAAATACGACTCTCTTAGAGGAATGTATATCATGAGCGTTCCTAATCGTATGTCGAGATATGAAATTCAGATCTAAACCCAAGGAAGACAAATGAATTCAATAAATATCCTAATCAAAATGAAAAATTGGTACCTTCTTGGGGTTGAGCAGGTAATCGTACAGTGTCTTTTCTTCCCAATTGACGGCCATGTTTTTGTTGGCAGCAGAGTAGGAATACCCCGGCGTAGTTCCAGACTGCCTTCCAAACAGTCCATTCAGATTTGGCCCTGTCCATTTTATGCATTTTCATCATATCATGAACATATGAAAGTTACAAATGACCTAAAAAGAAGGCATTCATATGTTCTTCAAAATTAAGACAAAAACACCTCAAATTAAGTCCTGAACAAGATAAACCGATGTGCTGCACATTTAATCTCTACAATTACCAATATATCTAACTGGATATGAGCTCTCACTGCATTTTTAATGGATTATAAAGATCATACAAAATATATAAAAAGTTATACACTTCACTCTTCAGAAACCTACATTCAAGATATCAATCAATATGTCCAACCCACAAAAACTCGAAGAAATATTTTTAAAAAATGCATAGAAAAACGCTGGCGAACAGATCAAAACAAATTTAGCCATTAGGAAAATAAATTAATACAGAACATGCCATATTTAATTAAAAAAAAAAAAGGGTAAAGATTCGAGCTTTTTGTTCATACCTTGTTTATGGCCGGCCCCTTTGTCAACGGTGTGGCACTGAGCGCACTTCATTTTGAAAATTTTCTCTCCGGCGGCTTTGTTCCCAGCAGGAGCTTCGGCGAACGACGACATTTCGAATTCAATCAGCTACAATTTCAGAAATGTAAACTAGTTAATCCTTTACTATTATTTTTTTATGGATGAAGAGAGAGAGGAGTTGGTTTGTGCAAATGGATGGCAAAGGAGATATAGAGGACTTGGTGTGGTTAAATAAAAGCCCCTCTACTGAGTTTCTCTATTGTCATGCCTTTATTCTAGTGATCTGTTTAGTACTTTTCTTTCATTTTTTTTTTTTTTCCTCCATTTATGTTGATTTAATTGCCTATTATACGGTGAAATTTATCCTAAAGCATCTATATTATTTTTGTCAATATAGTGCCAAGAACTCAAGTAATTTTCTATGTTTTTCTACGTTGTGGAAATTGAAAATGCCCCAATGGCTAATGGACATTAGAATAACTAATTTTCTGGTGTAGATTAATATTTATTATTATTATTAGTAAATAATTAGTAGTTAGCTTGGAGAATAAGCTAGAGTTTAGATTGAGGGCTTATTTAAAGAGTTATTATGCTTTGTTATGAGGTTGTGAATTTTGAGAATAAATCTGATATTGTGATTTTTTTTGTGTTTTACGAGTATCTCGTTTATCTTTTCCTCTATATCAGTTGGTATCAGAAGTCAGCACGATTCACGATGTTGTCGCGAAGACAAGATGCTGCAAACGACAGGCGTGTCGCCGCCATCTACAACCTGAGCCGCCGGACTGAGTGGTTTGGCCGCCAGCTCGATACAATGGGTCGTCAGATTGCAGATCTGTCCGCGGAGATCGGGGACATACGTCTAACTATCTGTACCATGGTTCGGGACAAGCAAACGTACCGTGACGCCGGCAACCGGGGCTTGTGCGGGGGAATTCGCGGAGGACGTGGAGGTCGTGGTCCAGGTGGGGCGCCCCGCAGGAAATCTCCACAACCACTGTCCGGCGACGAAGGCGGCTAGGAGACAGTCTCGGAGGTGAATTCCTTCGACGATTTTCTACCCCCGCACGTCGAGGCTGACCCCTTCGCTGCATACGCGGCCGTGACATGCGGTGACGGGGCCCGGTCTTCGTGGACGACGACGATCAACGCGACGACAGAGGCAAGCGCGAGGAAGCTGCCATCGTCGGCGGATATCTTGCCCGACGCGATTGGGAATTTGATCGTAATTATGGTCGATGGGAGGGCCTGTTTCGTGTAGACATCTTCGAATTCTACGAAGAGCAAGTTGACGGGTCATTGTATGATGGTCCCCCTGTGTTTGATGAAGGACCTGAGGAGGTCGATGAGTGTCTTACCGGCGAAGTGGACGGTCTCTATGACGATCCGCCGATTTTCGATGAGGAGTCTCCGGGTCATGTTTCGGGTATCAAAATTCAACTGTTGGAAGAATTTGTAATTCTTCTGTTGCGCAGGCCCGAGCTTTTCTTCCACGAGAATTTGTTGCGATTTTGCAAACAAATGATATTTTTTGATCCCCACAGTGACTTCAAAATTACTGCATATATGTCTTTCCATGAATTTCAAGAAAATGTAACCATGAAGGTGCGACATTCAACCTTCGTTTTTGCTATGAAGCCGTTTTTGCCCTTTTCAAGTTATAGTCCCCAATCGACGACACATTTTTGTCGCTGTTCTTTCAGTTCACTGTGTACCTAACACTCCAATCCCAGCTTATCAAACATTTTGCCGTAGATGATGAACAGACAACGTGAAACGGTGGAAGATTGAATAGATGAAATATAGACCTATTATGATAATCTCGAATCGCATACAAAAACCTTATAGGTACTGCGGCACACTACTTTCTCCATTTTCTCTCGAAAACCTAAACCCCCAAATTTCAGACATTGTTCCGCCTTCAATTTCACACAGTACAGTCTCTTCTTTATGCAATTTCTTATCTGGGTCATCTTCATTTTTCTCTTACTCTTCTGGGTCGTGTTCAATTTTTTGTTTTGGGTTATATTCACTCGGAAAAAAGCAATCTTTCGAAAGTTCCTCACCTACGTTACCTATCAAGAGTCAATTTTCAATCAATTCCTCAAGTTGGTTATCTTCAAATTACGGAATTGTGTCGTATCCACGCTACAAAGTACGTTCTTTGAAGCATCCTTTTCTGCAATCTTTAAATTCGCTGACTTTATCGAAGCACAGTTCTTACTATATCTGCAGATGTTTTACTGATTCATCCTCGGATGGGACAGTTAGTTCTGGTCGTCGAGCTGCTGTAGATAGTGAAGTTGACAGTATGATCAATGTTAGCTGTGATCAACAGAATTTAGGGAAGGGGAAAAATAGTCCCCCAAAGTTCATTTTGGATATTGTCGATATCCTTAGGAACAATAGGGAGGATTTGGAGTCTGAGTTAAATACAATGTCTTCTAAATTGTCTTCTCACTCAATTGCTGAAGTGTTTAAGGTTCTAAATGAACGGGGTATATCTGGGTTGAGGTTCTTCAAGTGGATTTGGGGGAACAATCATAGGTTGCGCAGGAATGCAATTGTGTGTAGTTTGATTATTGATAATGTGGGAAGATCGAATGATTATGAAACCATGTTTGTATTGTTGAAGGCATTCACGTATGAAAAGATCTGTCTTACTTATTCAGCCTTTTTATTCTTACCCATTCTGGCCTCCGAAAATTCTTCTTTAAACGAACCAACTCAAAAAGTGGTTGATTTGTTAAACAAAGTTGGGGGATCGTGTCGAAATTCGGGTGTTCATGCACTGATCGAGATGTTCTGTAATTTGTGCTTGTTTGAGATGGCCAGATACGTAATCAAGGTTACAGAGAGTAAAAAATCATACTATTGCCTTTTGATTCGTGCAAAGTGCAAAAATGGGCTTTTAGAAGACGCGTATAGCATAATAAGGGAGATGCAAGAGACTCATTGTATGCCTGATACCACCATTTATAACTACCCCATCGGCAGTTTATGGAAGAGTGGGAAAATGGATGTTGCTTTTGCGTTGCTTAACAAAATGAAAACAATCGGTGTACATCCGGATGCAATCACCTTTGAAATTCTTATAAATTTTGTTTGTAGTTTGGGCATGATGGATGATGTGCACGAGCTGCTCGATCAAATGGCGTCTCAAGGACTTGAGCCTCGCCCAACAACTCATGCTCGTGTTATCAAGACTTTGTTTGCAGCAGAAAAATATGAGGCGGCACACAAGTATGTTGTTAATCCGAGTTGTAAAACCTGTAGCAATATGATGTACAGCCTACTGGCAAACCTCTACCGGGAGAAAGGTGATGTTTTGAGTGCCAGGGACCTCCTTGTTGAGATGATGGACATGTGTCTGAAGCCGAATTTTAGCGTTTATGTAAAAATCGTGAAGCAGCTTCGGAAGATTGGAAAGAGAAATCTTGCAAGGGATTTGCAAGACAGACACTCCAAATTTGTTGTCAGGTCCCGGGCCTGAAACTTTGGATTGATTACTGGACAATTTTTGTTAGTACATTTTGTTTTTCTTTTTTTTCATTTTCTAAAACTTTATGAATCATAGTTTAGTGTTTTAGTTTCAATATGTAAAAGCAGAATGAGGAGCAGCTGTTGATTATGTTTCTCAGTCTTTTCTCCAACGACATTATTCTTTAGGAGACAGTGATATATTTGAGCAACAAGTTGCCTCTTTGTTCTTTTTTCACTTTTCCTTGCCATATTTTGGTTGGTTGCAAATGTTATGACAATTTACTTCTCTCTTTGTCGTTTATCAGTATATATAGCTTCTCGCTATAGAATTTGTAAATATGAATATAAGTTCCCATCCAGTTATCCAAGCTCCATGTTGGATTGTGATTCTGCTCGTGGGGCAATTGTTTCCCTGGCTAAGCATGAAACAACAAATACATTCTTTTTTGTTTTGTCCATTTTTCCCTTTTAATTTGATCACATATTATATTGGTTAACACTGAATGTCCTTGCAGGTTACAAGCTATTATGTATAAAATATATCCAAGACCATGCCTGACAACTCCATTTACCTACACAATGTGAAGTTGTTTGGATGAATACTTGCTGAGCTTGTGCACTATAAAATGTTGCAGAGGAAAGGGGCAGACAAAAGTTCTTACGGTGTAAGGTACACTCATCTTGTAATGCTCTTGCTGTAGTATGTGAATTGCAGTAACTAAATGCTTTCATAGTATTGTGATTTTCGTGCCGCCTCTGTTTTTCAAACCGTGTTCATTAATTATGCTCTTTCCTTGTACTTTGGGCAAGTCTAGACTTTGAAATATCTCTGTTATGGTCAGTGCTTATGTGTGAACAACTGGAATTGTTCTCTTACCTGAATAAAGAATAATAACATTACTCATGTTTGAAAGAGAGAGAAAGATAGAAAAGAATTAGAATGTGCCTGAAACTTGAAAGGGAGATAGATAGATAGATAGATACCTGCTGGTCTTTGCATCAAAGTGGATTAAAGTTGTAGTATTGTAATTTGCAATACAAAATGAGGCTGGCTGGGACTTGTTTGGAATTTTTGAGATTTGGTGAATATCTTTGAAGAATCTAATGAAATGGACTGAGTCAAGGTCAACAACAACACATTCCCTTTGGGATTTAGGTGCATTTCTGTTTTTTTTTTTTTTTATTCCCCAATCACAAATTAAAAGAAGATCTAACAATAAATTTCACTCTAGGATTGAAACATATGTCCGTGTTGTAGACACTAACTACCTTCAATTATGTAAAAGAAAAAAACACCGTCACATCAAATAATATTATACATATATATGTAGCTTTCAGATTTTTTTTTTTTTTTT